AGGGAAGGAGGTGTAGAGCATTAGGACCTCTCCAAAGCAGCCTTTCCATGAGGTCCATATTTGGCCTTGGATTCCTCTGACTCCTTTTCTAGGTCCCTTTCTACTAAGTAAGCAGCTTTCTGTTAAAACCTTCTGTACATATTCTCAAGGTATCAAAACTCTTCTCTATCTGTCCAAATTTCTGAAAGGTGGTGACCAGCTAGCTATTTGAGAAGCCCACTGAGTCTCCTGGTTTGTTTGTCTTCACAATGCTTCAATTATCCCACTTTCACAGGCACCAGCAGCCCACACCAGCCTGGCATTTTAAAAGTTTCCCCGGTGCCTTTGTGCTCTAGCGAGGCCTCTGGCTTCTCTCTCTCTCTCTCTCTCTCTCTCTCAATTATTACCTTAACCGCGCCCTGGAGACCTGAGGAAGGAGCCAGTTTATTTTAACTGGGAGATTGTTAAACTGCAGGAGGCAAGTCAGAACCTCAGCCAAGCCGTGGTTTCCATTGCTTCCCAGGGCTGCAGCCATGGGTGCTGAGAATAGCCAAGGCCACTTCCTGCTGGAGAGGAAATGGCCGCTTCCTCAGCTCCCGGAAGTGCTGTTTCCTCTCTGTTGCCCACCTCCATGTTCACCCATTAAGCAGACTCTTCCCACCCCACGCCCCCAGGGACCTGGCCAAGTGTGGAGAAGACATCCTGCTTCCCCTGAGGAAGTGGCCCAAATTGAAGCAGCCAGCAGGGCATTTGAGTGGGGAGCAGGGGGCAGAAGGGCAGGAAGGGGCTGCCAAGGAGCAATAGTAAAGTTATCAAGCATCCACTAAAAACAGTGCCACACCCACCCTTTTGTCCTGATTCCCTGTGATCTAAGTAAACTTGACAACTCTAACTGGCCTTTATAGTCCAAGGTTCTCTCATGCTGTCTTTCTGTTTTTTGAGTGACACATGCTAATTGTGTACATATTTGTGGAGTGCAATCAGATAATCTGATAGTATACACAATAAGTAGTGATAAAGTCAGAGCAATTAGCTTTTCCACCTTCTTACATGTTTATCATTTCATTGTTTTTGGAGCCTACAAACTCCTCTCATAGTTGTTATAACCACCTTACTGCCCTGTAAGACACGAGAACTTATTCCTCCTCTGTAAATGCATTTTGATACCCCACGTCTCGTTTGCTCCTCAAAGACTCTGCTCCTCCTTCTGCCATCTTATCCTGACCACGTTATCCCAGACCTCTCCCATCCAATGACAACAAAAATTCAGTCCCTTTCTTGACTTTTACAAGAAAATATGCTCACAACACACATTCTGGCAGTTTAGAAAACTGACAGGAATTGAGTAGCCATAGGGCACCATAATAAATAGCCTTATGGAGACGGATCTGGAGCCAGATTCCCTGGCTTCAAATCCCACCTCATACCCTCACATTCCCCTTTAGCTCTGCTTTGTTGGGTAAGCCATTTAATTTCTCTGACCTCTGTTTTCCCTCTGGCGGTGAGAAGAGTGGCATATACCCCTCCAGGGCTGTTGGAAGACTCAATGAAATACAGCACTTAAGACAGATAAAACTTTTTTCCTGTAGTTTCATACTCAATAATAAGTTTGCAGCTGCTTTACTCTGTGTCTTTCCCCCTTTCAGAAGAAAGAGAGGGACAAGCTTCCTTGGCCTTGGTGGAATAATGATCCTCTAACTCTTCAGGCTTGGCACCCACCAGCACCCCTGCTTTAGGGTTTCCCTTCTGCGGGGGTGGACCTCATGAGGTCATTTCTCTTGGTGCTCTCTTTGTGGGAACTTGAACAGAAGCTATAGATTTAGACACAGAAAAAAAAAATGCAAACTTCATTCCTCAAACATTAGTAACATATAGAAAAGTTATACCAGTACTACAACTAATGAGCCAATCGTGGTACATTATTATTTATTAAAGTCTTTAGTCTTCATCTAATGACCTTTTCTGTTCCAGGGTCTGCCTTGAGACAGCACATCGCACTGAGTTGCCATGTGCTATTAGGTTTCTCTAGACTGTCACAGATTTGAGGACTGATCCCTTGTCTTTCATGAACTTGACAGTTGTACATGCTCAGGTATTTCACAGAATGTGTCTTAGTCTTGGTCTGATGTTTTTCATGTAACTGGGTAGTCTTAGGCTTGGAGCTTGGGGTGCCACAGAAGTGCCCCTAGGTCACATCATATCAAGAGTGCACGCTGCTCACGTGACATTACTGTCCATGCTGACCTTGCTCACTTGGATGACAAAGTGTTTGTCAGAGTTCTTCAGTGTAAAGTTAGTTCTTCCTTTCTATATTGTAAACTCTGGAAGGAGATCACTGTGTTCAGCCCATGCTTGAGGAGCAGGAAGATAGGCTTCCCCCTGCAGGGGCTGGAAAATTATAGGCCTTATTTGGAATCCTGCTGATGGAAATTTGCATATTCTCTTCCTGTGATTTATTTCATCAATTATTTGTTCATATCAACACAAACTCAGGGATACTTACTTTGTAATTTGTGTTATAATCCAGCAGTTGTTTATCTCCTCTGTGTTGTCCAGCTTTGGACACTGGGAGCTCTCCTGGCATCATTGTCACCTACCCCATCATCGTTTCCATTTGTTTCTAAGAAATGCCTTACTGTTTGGTACCAAGAGATGCTTTAGGCTAAGCTTATACATGTGTCATGCATTTGACCATTTTTCAGTGATTACTGGTTTCTTTATTGCAGAGTGATATTACAAACCAAACTCTGGACACCAAGTACCTTTGCTGCTTGTTGATACAGCATTGCTTCTTGGTTTTCTCAGCAGACACAGCAAGAAAATGTGTGTGTGTGTGTGTGTGTGTGTGTGTGTGTGTGTGTGTGTGTGTACCTATCTCTGTAATATTTCTACATGTAATCATTTACACCAACATTAGTTGAAGAGTAGCTCTGCGTGGTGTCCTCAACTGTAACGCACCCTCCTGTAACTCATTCCAGCTTCTCCCCCGGCTTACCTACCCAGTCTTTCTCATTGTGATGAGAAATTTGCTTCTTACCATCCACATATTTAAGAATTTCAGTTTCAGCACAATACTCCCGGAACTGTTCCCTCGCATCATTGTGGGAAATGCCCTCTTGATTAGGGTAAAATGCTCACATGTGATTTCTTTTTTCCTTTAGTTTTATAGACTCTGTTTATTTACAAAATTATTTAGGTCCTCAACATTTTCCTCTGCAGTGTGTATTGCTTCATACATTTTAATGCAATTACATTGTTTTGTCAAGTTATACATCCAGTCCTGGAATTGCTTGACTTCCTAAATGATTTTCTTTTCTTTTAGTACCGGGGATCAAACTTACAACTTCATGATTGCCAGGCAGGCACTTGTGCCACTGAGATAAATCCCCAGCTCCTAAATGATCCTGTAACTTAAATACAGCAAGACTCGCTCTGCTCTGCACAGTTCTATCTTGCCTATCACGGATCCACAGTTCAGCCTCCTACAGAATCACTTACTGCTCCAAAACCCCTCTGGGCTCCCCTTGAGCCCCAGGAAGACTGTTTTTACTGTTACTGAAGTTTTACCTTTTCTAGAGCAGCACACAGGTGCATCATACAATCTATACCTTTTTTAGACTCTTCCTTTACTTAGCAATATGCATCTACTATTCATCCATCTCTTTCACTAGCTAAACTGCTCCCTATCTTTTTAAAAAATGAAGCAATATTCCATTGTGTATACATACCAAAATTTGTCTATCCATTCACTTATTGAAAGACATTAGAGGGTTCATGTGTCTGGCAATTATGAAAATAAAGCTACTACAAACACTATCGTGAAAGAGTTCTTTGGGACATTAGTTTTTGAATCAATTGGAACAATACTAGTGGTGTAATTGCACTATGTGTGTAAGACTAGATGCACTTTTGTCAGACACAGCCCTACTGTATTCTAATATGGCTATGCTACTTTTCATTCCCATAGCAATGAATGAGAGTTCAGGTTGCTCCTCATTCTGATCAGCATTTGATGTTACTGGTGTTTGAGATTTGGGACATTCTAATTATGTATAAGGGTTTCATGTTGGTGTGTGAACTTGCAGTTCCCCAGTGAGAGATCATATTGATCGTCTTTACATGTATTATTTGCTTTTAGTATATCTTTCATGGTGAGATGTGTGCTTTAGATCATTTTCTCTTTGTTTGTTTGCTAAGACAGAATCTCACTCTCTCATCCAGGCTGGCCTCAGACTTGTAGCAATTCTACACCTGAGCCTCCCAAGTACAGTTCCTCCTTTTTAAATTACACTGTTTTCTTATTGTTAATGTTATAAGTTCTTTCATAATTTTGGATGTAAATCCTATCAGACACTTTCTTGAGCATATTTTCTCACACTCTGTGGCCTGTCTTTTGTCCTTGGTATATATATAGCTTAATAGCATCTTACACAGAGCAGAAAGGTTTTTGTTTTTTGTTTGTTTTAATCAAGTTCCAGGTGACAGCTTATTCCTTCATGGATTTTGCTTTGCTTTTGCATTTAATAGCTCCTCACTAAACTTTGAGAGATTTTAAACTTATTCTCTTGTATAATTATCACACCACTGCTCTCTACAAGAAACATGTTGCCTGTTATATTGTTTTCTGAAGTACCTTTAGCAAGATGAAAAAGCTTGCAGACAAAAGAGAATGAATACACTAGAACAGGCTAAGACAAATACCAAATGTCTTTGAAGTTTCTTGTTCAGCCGTAACACCTGTGAGCATCTCGCTATGTCTTTTACTATATACCTATACTTATTTTAATATATTATCATACTATTTTGCCGGAATACACACACAAGCACTACTACTATCATTTTGAAAAGCAGCTGCATTAGTAGCAAATATTTGTTTATTTTTATTTTGGAGATGATTTATGACCCCCAGCACAATGACATGCTTCTTCTCCCAGAAATCTTTGTCCACTGGTTTGGAAGCAAACAGGCCCACAGGGCTAGACAAGATATCTTGTTTGGTGTTGCGTAGCTGGCAAGTGGCAGACCTCGGGTTTTACTTCATGAATGTGTATGTCATCTTTCACAGGGGCTGTGCTAATCTTCTCTATATCACTCCAACTTGAGTATATGCGCTGCAGAAGTGAGCACCAGACCCAGGATTTCGGTCTCCAGTGAAAGACTCCAAAGCTGTGCTCTCAGGAAACCCTGGAGAAGCTGCATGCCCAGGGTCTGAGCCAGAGACAGCACTGGGAGGCTGCCATCAGCCTCATTCAGGGAGTCACCTCTTCCCTCCCTGATGACCCAGCTCCCCAGGCTTCACAGCCTCCAGCCTCGAACCCTATAATTTAGGCTTCCTTCTCTCAGAGGCATAAACTACCAAAAGGAAAAAGCAGCCCCAAGATGTGCTTTTCTCGAGGGGCAGGAACGTGAGAAGGAACCAGCCCAAGGGTGGTGATAAGGAACCTGAAAAAATTACCATTTTTAAACGATGAAAAAAAACTTTCTATTCCCAAACAATTTTTGCTGAAATAACAATGCACACAATAAAATGCATTGAGAGAACTTATAATTACACCAAATTAAACTATGTCTCAGCGCCTACCCTACTGTGAGAACCTTTTATTTCCCGGTCCAGGCTTGTGCAGTGGCCAGCCTGGGGTGGCCACAGCTCTGAAAGCAAAGGCTCTCTGAGAGAAAGAGGTCATTCTCTCGGCGCAGTGGCCTTTGCCCTCCCATGCGGGGAGCTGACAGCTTCTTTGGGAAGAGTGGGAGCAGCAGGCATGTTTGTAAGAGCAGCTTTCAGGGCCCGGCGCCTACCCAGGAAGGGACCCAAGGGACAGATGCACTCTTCAGACACCAGCGAGTGTTACATTGCTGTCCCCAATGCCAGTCTCCTCTGAAGGGCCCAGCGACCTTACAGGTGTTCCTGGAGTCCAAGACTTCCATGTAAACCTCCAGTGCACCAATGACCAAGTGTGACCTTGCTTGACCTCTCTGGGCCACTTTCTTGGTGAAAAGCAGAGTGAAAGGGTTTCAGGTGTGGCTGTGCACAGGAAGATCGCTGCTCCTGTGGGAGAAGTGAGGTGACTGTCTTGTGGGGGCTGGCCTTCACAGCCAGCTGCCAGGGTTGAGGCCCTGTGGGTGCTGGTTTCCTCCCAGATGTGTGTGAGGAGAGTCTAGCACCGTCCGCCAGTCTTCTCCTTTTCCTGCAGCTGCCGTGAAGTGCACACCTTGCTGCCTGGGCCTGCAGCTTCGCCTCTGCCCTATCAACCTCTGAACCCCAAGACTCTGCAGGGCAAGCTTCAGGGTGGCTGCTGCTGCGTCGCCTTCAAAGACTCCCAAATGGAACTCTGAGTCCCTCTGATCAATGTGACTTAGGGACCCAGTTGGGACTACAGCTCTCTTGCAGAGAGGTCAAATGTTATACCAAGCTATTTACATTTGTTAACTAATTTGCTTCTCATACCAAACCTGTGAAGAAGATGTTGTTTTCCATTTCACAGATGAGCCAACTGAGTCAGAGAGAGAGAGGAAATGACTCTTCCAAGGTTGTAGATGTCCTTTACATCACAGTAAATAACTTGGTATAGCAGGTAATGCAGGCAACTCTAAATGGATGACAGCTGGGTTTGCGCGTGTCCTTGTGCTGGCCCCAGACTGCATCAGGTACCTTCGTCGCTATCCTGATGGCATCCTGTTGCCACTTATCTCACTGTCTTGATACCTGCTCTTTACTTGTGGTCCTATGAGACAGGACACTTTGCAAACAGTAACACCCTCTCCATATGCCCAAGGCCCAAAACCAGGCCTGGCGGTTACAGTGAGTGAAATGAATGAATGAATGAATGAATGAATGAATGAATGAATGAATGCCAAATAAAGTGAATGGTCAGAACAGACCAGGCTAAAGCAATAGCTGTCCTCAGCCTCACTGGAACTGTGGATAGGGCTCCTCAAGGAATCTCAGATCTGAATTATTGCTAGTGCAATGGCAAAGAGAAACACCAACACAACACCCAGAATTAGAGGTACCTTTATGTAACATCGACAGGCCCTGACCTCAAGAAAAAGGTGTCAGGCCTCCAAGGTTCATGGAGGGAGGGTTTTTTGGGGTGCAAAGGGTAAGTACAGAGATAGAGTACTTGGCTGTCTTTGATTGATTCTTAAAATGTGCATCACAGTGACCAGCTGTTTCTAGGAGACAGAAGTAATAGGAACTATAACAGACACTGAAATGAACTGAAAGTTACCTGGGTAACTAACAGAAACTGAAATATACTGGCCGAGGGGGATCATTTTCTGGTACACGAGGCTATCACACTGGGCCAATGAGGTCATACAATGAACAGTGGAAACTAGGAGTGAGATAAGAAGGAGAATTTTATTACAGCTGAGCTTGCCTCTCTTGCTCCCCCGCTCCCCAAGACCTTCCAGGCAGGTGCATGTGATAAGGAATTGTGGTGTCAGCTTGAATGAGAAGCACCTAGTGGACTGGTTCAGCACAGTTCTGGGTGTGTCTGGATGACGGACTTACTGCAAAGGGAAGCCCTACCCTGGGTTTGGGTGACACCAACCAATAGGCATGCAGTCTGGGTAGAATAAAAAGGGAAAGAGGAAGGAAGTCTCCCTTCTATGTCTTCAGGGATGCTCCGTCTTTGGATGTCTGTCTCAGGCTTCCAGTGGCTTTCTGATAGAATAGAATTCAATAGATCCATTCATTCATCCAACATATATTTATGGAACCAGAGACTACTCCAAGCATTGGGATACAACAATGGGTAAGATAGGCCTATTTCCAGGAAAGACAGAAGGAAATATGTTTTCTGTTTGGATTATGTGGTATAAGCCAGTATTACCTATGGCTAAGGAAGCAGAAAAGACAAAGGAGGAGGGGGTGGGCAGGGAGGCAGGAAGCCCAGATCCTTATTTTTACTGCCAGCACAGTCATTTCAACCAAGGCCCTTAGCTCCCCCCCACCCCCCTTCCGGCGGCGGGGCCTCATCAGTCCTACTCCACACTGGAGCAGTTGCTCAGCCTGGCAATGGGGCTAGAAAGGCTGCAGAACCGTGGGAGGTGACAACTTGATGTCTCTGTGACTGTAGTCACATGACCCACCTCTTTGAACCTCTACTCACAAAGTAGGAAGAGCAATGCCCCCTGGTGTACCCTGCAGACTTGTGAGGGTCTTCACTGCCCACACAGTGGGAGAAAGGGCTTGGGAAACAGTGAGGAGGGCTGGAGGTATAACTCAGCCGTAGGCCTGCGTCAGTTAGCTCAGACCTCACTTTTAAGACCCAGTTCCTCCTCACATGGTTCCCTTGACCCCTGTGACCCACAGGGATAACAAGCCCTGCCCAGCCCACCGTGGTGTCATGAGGCCTGGACAACTGACAGAGATGCAAGTGCACTGAGGATACCAGGGATGACTGCTCTTGCCATCCTGATCTTCCCAGGGGTAGAATCGGACTTGACCCCTGTCTCTCTGCCTCCTCTCTAGAAATGAAGGTGCTGAGATATGACTATTTCTGTCTCCTGAATATTCATGAATGGAAACTCAAACCCCTGTGCAACAGTGTGGACAGTGGGAGCTGATCTGGTCTTCAGGAAAGAATGCTCCTGGGTGGGACTGAAGCCTTTACACAAGAAGGCCAGGAAGGCTTGTTTCTTTCTCTGCCACGCAGGTGCTCCACCTAAAGATGCCCTCTGAGAGAGAAAGCCCCTCCCTTACCAGGCACCAAATCTGCTGACATCTGTGTGTGGAGTTGCCAGGCTCAGACCTGTGAGCAGTAAATGCCTGTCTTCATATATAAACCACCCAGTCTAAGGTGCTGTATCTTAGCAGCCCAAAAGGTAGCACCATTGGAAAGGACAATTGAAACGGTTTCCAGTTCTCTCTGTGGGTTATCATGCTGTTCCTGAGATCACCACATGTATTATACAGGAAAGAAAATGGGCCTTCATTATTAGAGAAGGAAATAAGAGAAAAGGAGTCCAGGCTGCTGCTGGTACACTACAGTATGACCCTGGGCGAGGTGCTTTGCTAACCTGATAAGAAACTGGAGTCTATGTAAGCTTGGATGTTTGCAGCTACAGGAAAATCAGAGGTAATCAATAACAATATTTACTATATCGTACAGCAAGTAGTTCACACATAATGGGCTCATGTTTGGTATGAGAGTGTCTCAAAGATGTCAGGGCCACAAGCCGGTCCCTATATGATTTCTGATGAAGCAGAGATGACTCCCAGCACTGCAGGCCTCACCCCCACACCCCACAACACCCAAAGGCAAAAGCCTCTCCTAAGAAAAGAGCACGAACATCTTTGCCAGGTGCAGCCCTTGCATTTCATGGTGAAGAGTGTGGCAGAGACCACAGAGTGACTGCCTGTTACCTAAACATATCTGAGGAAGAGAAAGAGAATTCGCACCAGGAGCAACATAACCAGAGTTAGGTTTCTGAGAAGAAAGAATGCAGAAAAGGTGGTGGACTCAGTGTGGAACACAGACCCAGGGCTCTCCCAGGTCCATTCAAGCCAAGTCCAATGAACTGAGCTCAGCCTCAGGTCCCAGAGGTTCATTTCTTAGAAGAACCAAGGGGCCAGCTCAATCCATGCCTAGTCTGCAAGGCCCATCTGGTTCTGCTACAGCTCCTGAGCTGGCAGGGGTGAGAGCTGCACAGCTGAACCACTATCTGATTTTCAGAACATCCTCTCTGCCAGGCTGTACCGCTGGCAGCTTTCTGGGTCAAATTTAGAAGTGCCTGGGTCACTTTTAGAAGTTCCTCACCCACCAGGCCCCCAAAGGATGACCCCTTCCCTTCTTGCCTCTTCAGATACACACACAAAATTCAACAAGAATAACTTAACATGGAAACCTTTCTTTCCCTTTATCTTGGGTAAAAAAAAAAAGTCTAGAAACGAGCAATCTGGTCTTTGTAAACCCAAATTCCTGCATTTTTCTGTCCCTCCAACCTCAGCGCATGCCTATCCTGAAGATCCTCCTGCAGTCCAAAGTGTTTCCGCTGCTCTATCCTTGTGTTACATCCCATATTTTAAAAGGAAGAGGATAAAGAAGAGAGCAAGGAGAAAGAGATGAAAGAAGAAGAAAGAAGAAAGAAAGAGAGAAAGAAAGAAAGAAAGAAAGAAAGAA